TTTTAGCTCATGTTCTGTCTGTTTTTAGCTCATTTTCTGTCTGTTTTTAGCTCATGTTCTGTCTGTTTTAGCTCATGTTCTGTCAGTTTTAGCTCGTGTTCTGTCTGTTTTAGATGATTTTCTGTCTGTTAGCTGGTGTTGTGTTAGTTATAGCCTGTGTTCTGTTAGTTATAGCTCATGCACTGCCTGTTTTAGTTTGTGCTCTGACTGTTTTTGTTTTGCCTGTTTTAACTCTTGTTCTGTCTGTTTTAGCTTATGCTCTGTCAGTTACAGCTCATGCACTGCCTGTTTTAGTTTGTGCTCTGCCTGTTTTTGTTTGCTTTGCCTGTTTTCACTCTGTTTGGCCTGTTTTTGCTCTTGTTCTGACTGTTTTAGCTTGTTTCTGCCACAGAAAATGCTGATTCTTTACATATTATTAAATAAATATAATTTTGAATTTGCTTCCTTCTTTAAATGACGTGTCAGTAGTTTGAGAACCCGACGACGGACTTGGTCAGGTTTTGTTTCAGATTTAAATCTCTATTTAAAGTGTTGTTCAAATAAATAATCTGTCTGATGTTTCTCTCTTCATACAGTCACTGTTTCCCATTATCTCCATAAGGAGCAGAAATCTGTTTGTGGAGCCTCAAACCTATGCCTGTTTCAGATAATCCATCGTAATCTGCTACTGGTTTTGTCAAACTTTTGTTACCATGGGAACAAAAAGCTGCAGCGAGACTCTGCGGATCCGTCTGCTCCGATGCTGTCAGAGCAGCAGAAGTTTGACGCGTTCGCGGCTCCCGTTCTGTGACGGATTATCGGCTCGAACGAGCACCAAGAAGTCAGTTTGGAAGACAAGCTGAGCGCTGCCTGAAAGATCATTTAAAAACCATCTGAAGCCATTCAAAATAAGCATTTGGACTGTTAAACATAGAAACATCAGAATATTCCTGGTAAATGTGTCCAAAAGGGATCTTGACTTGCTGGTTTTACTCACCTTTACACTTGTTGGTCGTCTTGTCCAGGATAGCTTTTGCAGACTGAATCTTTCCATACCTGGACATATAAAAACACAAGGACTGAAGAAAATGTCTTAGACGTCAAACTTCTGTTTTAATTTCTAGACCAAACTTCTGTTTAACAGAAAAAAGAACCTATGAAAAGAAACAAAGTCCATGCTCAATAATCCAGGTCTACAATCCAACAATTGGGAATTGTTGGAACCTATGAAGAGATTAATAATTTCCATTGAGAGCTTGCAGGACTAAAAACCTCCACGTTCTCCAACAATATAACCAGATTTGAATATTCCTGGATTTTCTTTTTCCTCTGAAATGTGGCAAACTGTGCGTGGACTTGGTGGACCTGCACACTTCATGTCTCGCTCATGTCCACATGCAGTTGCTATGAAAATCGCTTTAATTTCTGCTTTGTGCTGGAACGCACCACTGGGAACATGAAGAAAACACGAGCAGAGCAGGACGCAAACAGCTGCTGCTGTTCGTTACGTGCAGGCCGATCTCCCAACATGCGTTTCATTTAGACGAAATCAGGAAGAAATCAAACTTTAGTTTGAACTTATACTAAACATCCGCCCGCTGTAGTTTTATTTCCTCTATAAAATATATATTTTTTACATCTAAGAACACCAAAAGTAGATTTAACGTGTATTATAGTGATATTTAGGCCTCAGGGGCGAAGGATGTGTGTGGGGAGGTCACTACAGACATAAAAGATACTAAATCAGCTTTCAAATTTCACAACACATTTCTTAACACTAAAACGTGATGCCATTCTAAATCCTCTTTGCCACTGATCCACTCGTCTCTCGTCTTATCGGTTCTTCTCAGGTGGAGGTGATTTACCTCTGTGACGAGTTTCCCCGCTCTGTGGACGGGGTCGTCAGTGCGAAGTGGGCCGTATCGCAACAGATCGTTGTGTTGGAACCACTCCGCTCATTGTGGTCCTTAATCGCCCAATTATCAGACGACACTTTCTTTAGCTTGTCTCGGCACTGCTTGTAAATCCGGGCATAGCCACGCTGCACCTTCATCTGGGATATCTCTCAGTAAATCCACTCGTTTCTTGTGGCGCTGTCAGTCAGCACGATGAGGAAGTGAAGGCTCAGATGTAGTTTGCTGTTTTGCTGGGCGGGTCACTCAGTGACGTAGCTCTGCTGGCCACTTAATGGCTGCTGTCTGCTTACGTGAACATCGTCACTTCGGAGCAGCCCGCGTGGAACCTCGAACAAGATGGTCTCATAAACCGGGCTGACTGGGGGTGGTACCGGTAGAGGGGAGGCCTTTAACTGGTGCCGTGTGGTGCGGAACCGATGAGACTTCAGACAGTAGCAAAGCGCCGTAAGAGAGTCAGTTGCTGTATGGAGGCGTTTGTCCCAGTAGAGTTTCCGTAGCTTCCTGTTGCAGTAAAGCTGCATATCTTTTTCAATTTATTTGCTTAAACATAAATATTATTCGTCTGTAAATAAAGGCTAAAGTGGCCATAGTAGGACTTTTAGTGTATTACTGTTTAGTAATAAATGGTGTGCTACTCAGGTTAGCTTTTCCATGGCATTTTCAATGTAAAGTTAGCATTTATGCTAATTGTTGATAAGCTGCTCTGCAGAACCCTGAGGAATGTGTCTATAAATAATAGTTTAATGGGATTTAATGGGATTCAATGGGATTTACCTGTCTAAATAAAGGTTGAATGAATGAACGAGTTGAAGTTATCATGTGTATTTTAGTAAAATCTTCGAAATGTTTAATTTATGTTTAAATTTTGAGTGATAAACAATGCTCACTGCATTAGCTTTTTTAGGTGTTTTCAATGTTAATGTTAGCGTCTACGCTAATTGGTGATTAGTTTTCTTCACTGAAACCAGGATTAATTATGTCTGTAAATAACAGTTGAAGTCAGTAAAACATGACCAGCATTAATAACTTTGAAATGTTTTAAATTTGTGTATAAATAATTTCCAGTGATAAACACAGTCATAATTATTTTATTGTTCTATTCCATTTTCACTGTTAATGCTAGCATCTACACTAACTGGTGATCAGTTTTCTTCACTGAATCCTGAATTATTTATGTCTGTAAATGATAATTTTTTAGTAATGACTTTGAAACGTTTAACTTGTGTACAGTGATAATACGTTAAAACCGTTAGCTTTCCATAGCGTTTTTAATGATAATGTAGCATCTATGCTACGTGTTGTTCAGCAAGTTGTTTCTCAACAATGTGAAAATAAAAAAAACATATAAATCTGTTTTACAAATCTTTGCTGAAACACGGTTGGAACATACGTTTTACATATCAGATAGCATTTTTATTTTGTCACGAGTTGAAGAGAATCTAAAGACCACTTTATCTTTTTTTTACAAATAGCTGCCACCAACACCTGGTTAGCTTAGCTTAGCACAAAGACAGGAAATAGGATTCAAAATATCCTCATGATAAAAGGAGCTTTAAAACTCTGTTTCCTAAAAGAAGAAACTGAATGTAACTTAAATTTTCCCATTAGTTTCAAAATATGAATCCCAACAGAGCGCGCCTCGCCTTGTCTCGATTGTTTTGATGGTAAAAGTGAGCATTAATGGGTGAGTCAGAACAGCTGATGAGGGCTACTTGAAACCCGAGCGGATAATTTGTCAAGGACAAAAAAATTACATAAATTAATATTTGAAAAGCCATGAATTAGAGCTAGAAACATTTATGACTCATAACAGCCTTTTAGTCTTGCACTTCAACTCAGTGGCTGAACTGTTCAAAACCACTGTCTGTCCTGATGTTTATCAAACCTCTCAAACTAAAATGCATATCACCCACTGCTGTGTAGGCCAATCATTAAACAAAGGTTTTCTGTGATCTATTAGCACTCGGACTATGTGTGGAGGATAACTCTCAGCTACTACCACAGCAAGGTTTAGCTCAATATAATCAAAACTTGTTTATGTTTAAGACTGATCGGCTGTAGCAGCCATCTTGAACGGGATTGACTTCAAAAGTTAATCAGTTGTGGACATTCTTCCAAAGACTATAAAACCCGTGTTTCAGCAAACAACGATGTTCATGCTGTACGTGTGTGTGCACTCACTGGTGGCAGAGTTTGACCAGATCCAGATCCGTGGTGGCGGGAGGCAGGCCTCGGATGTAGAGATTAGTTTTGCTGAGCTGCTCCAGGCCTGTGCTGCTGCTGCTGCTGCTGCTGGGACTGGACGGAGTCATGGGGTACGACTGCACACAGGAAAACCCACTGTTAGGATGTTTACAGGACCAAGATAATCTCATTTAAACCTGGGTCAACAGTGATCACAAGAACCTTCCATCTGCGTGAAACTAGAAGCACAGAAACACACGGGAGGAGCAATATGACGTTGAGATTTCACGCCACGTTACGGCACCACTCATCAATGATGAGCGGTGGCGCCGGTTGTTTACGGCGCTGCGCCCGTCAGGCACCGACAGGTAGAGATGGATACACGGCTCTTTGAAGGGAACCGGATCTTGATGATCCGTTTGCTTCATAGAGCCGTTCCATTTTCAATGACAGTCATCATGTGCGCCATGCGTGATGACGTATGTTGTCAGGACGGTACCACGTGTGTTGGCAAGTGGGGAATCCCCCCACACCAAGTGTTGCACCCCTCCCTGTTCTCCTTCGTCTCTGTGAAAAAGCGAAGGAGGAGCGACTGTCTGTGATTGAGGAAGAAAACTTGAAGAAATTATGAGGAGGAAAAAATAAAACTAGGATCAGGTCTTTACTGTCTGCAGCTCAAGTTTTTATTGTTCCTCGTAAAGAGCCGTTCAAACGATCCGGATCATTCGCAAAACAGGAATGACTTTTAGGTATTTTACGTCAAATATGTGATACCAACGTCCTACACTTTTAAGGGGAGGTAGCTTCCAGAAAAAAAATAATTCAAATTTCCATCACTTTAATTTAAAAAACTTGTTCAAAAAACAAATAAAATCATGTAAAGCCCCAGTTGACACAGATTTAATTTATATTTAGATATGTACTACTCTATAAAAAATACTTCATCTGTTCTAGGTAACTCACTGAATGATCCCAGTTAGAAGTAAAAACGTTGAATTCTGATCAGATTGACAAGCTAACAACGAGCTAACTGATGAGATAATGGCTAACTGATAAACTAACAGCTTCAAGGTTCAAGGAGGTGACTTTGTTGTCATTCACTTCACATGTGGTACATGAGGTGGAACAAAATTGTGTAGTCAAGGTCCCAGTTACACCCAAACATAGCAAAAATATAAAGTATAAAAAAGAAACAGTATACAAGGATTTAAGATATGCGCTCAACACTAATAATGTAATATAATACGGTGTATTAAACAGCAGCCTGAACATGAGTCTGTTGTGAGCAGATGGGTATGAATTAAAGGCAAGAAATCAGCAGCAAGGATAATCAGCAGCACAGAAAAATTGTTCAAAAAACACATGTAAAGCCCCTGTTGAAACAGTTTTAATTCACATTTAGAATTTAAATTACATTACATTGCTGTGTCATTACAGCGATTAAAAAAGTGAGTGTGCTGGGTGAGTGGGGTCCTTCTTGCTAGAGCGTATTGACAAGCTAACGGCTAACTGATGAGCTATCAGCTTACAGATAAATTAACAGCTAACTGTTGAACAAAGAGCTACAAGCTGTTAAGATATTTTTAATCTAGACTGGTCCTATGGTTTTGATCTGCTCAGAGCCGGGATTATAATGAAATTATGACCCGGTTCTGACTGGGTTAAACTGGGCTAGCAACTCTAAAGAGAGTCTCCCTGGGACTCAATATCTGTCACGGAATAGAGTTTGATCTGCTTGCCACATCACGTAGAAAGGCCTTTGAAGCACCGTCTCATATTTCCTAACACGTCAGTCCACGTAAGATCCACTGAGATCACACTTAGACACGCCCACTCATACACTTGACAGGTTGAGCTCTCCTTCTGTGAAGGCGGAGTCTTAGGGCCCTATAAATGAGTAATGACACGAGACATCGAGGCTCTTCCGGGTCTGTGAACGCGTCACAGACCGGAGAGTCCAGCGCTGTAAATTATAATCTTTTCCTGCCTTTTCTAATATAATTGATAAAACTTAATTGACGTTTCCTTGATTTATTGATTAGTATAGTTATCACTTCTGAGGGAGGTTCGAGCCGGGGGTAAAGGCGTGTGCTGGAGGGGGTTTCCGGTTCCGGTGGCCCGCAGCCAGCTCCCGTCTTTAACAAAGCTAACTGGTGAACTAACAGATAACTGATGAATGCCAAAGTGATGAACTAACAGCTAATTTACAACCTAGCTGCAAACTGATGAACAAAAAGCTAAATGATGAGCAACAATTAGGTAACTGATAAACTAACAGCTAACAGATGAGCTAAGCTAACGGTGACTAATTTACAAGCTATCAGCAAGTCGGAGTGTGACTTGAGACCAAGGTAAATTTTAGCCAACTTAACAACTACCTGTAACTTATCGACAAGCTAACTGCTAACTGATGAGCAACCAGCTAACTGCCAACCTAACTGTTAACTGATGAGTTAACAGTTAACTAACAAACTAAAAGCTTACTGACAAGCTAACCGCTAACTGATTAGCGAACAGCTAACTTACAACCGCTAACTGATGAGCCAACTGCAAACTGATGAGCTATCAGCTAATTTACAACATAACTGTTAACCGACGAGCTACCAGCATAGCTAACTGATAAATTGCTAATTTACAAAACTGCTAAATGATGAGCTAACAGCTACAGATTAACTAATGTATAACTGACAACCTAACTCCTAACTGACGAACTAACAGCTAATTTACAACCTAACTGCTAACTAAAGAGCTACAAGCTAACTGGTGAGCTAACAGCTAACTGATGAACTAATGACTAATTTACAAAACTGCTAAATGATGATCTTACAGCCAGGGCCAGATTAACACTTCGCTGTACCCTGGGCAACAATCTTCAAGGGCCCCATCATCACGACCCCAGAATCACCATAATCTGGCAAAATACAGAATAAATTACCATAATATACAGCAAATGTACTTAAAATTCTAACTATCAAGTGTATTTTTATGTATAAAACTCCAAATGCTCATTGACACAAATCATAAAGACTGAATTAAGTTGAACGCACTTTGAAGACCACACGACACCGTATGTTTACTTGTTCAGTAACATGTTGGCCACTGGTGTCAGAAGCATTTATAATGTGTGTGTGTGTGTGCGGGCGCGGGGACGTGTGGGAGAGAGACCCTGATGGTGGGGTCTGGGGGTCCCCCCAGAAAATTCTGAATAAAGTAGATGCCATTTCCTGCATTCTGGTGTATTTTAATGGTTGTTTAACATCTAGTTTTACCTACATAAGTAAACACTTGGAACACCTTGGGATTCCCCTGGAGGAGCTGGTCCAAGTGTCTGGGGAGAGGGAAGTCTGGGCCTCCCTACTTAAGCTGCTACCCCCACGGATGGATGGAAGTAAACACTTGATTCAGTAACTATTTTAGAGCTAATGGCACAACAAGAAGTAACCTGACCAACAACTGATTCAATGAATTAAAAATATTATATATTCAAAGGTGATGATTTGATGCCCACATTAAAATTAAATGCCTGTAACTTAGTTGACTTCAAATGCAACAAGATTATCAATGAATGTTTGCAACAAAGGATTTACTGAGTATAACAAAGATTCCTTCAAGAAACCTCCCAATATAAATCATAAAACCAGAATGATTTCTGCTCATTCTAAATTTGTCAAATGGCCTAAATCTCCTAAAGTTAAGGAGAATCATTTTAAAATAATAAATACGATATATCCTGTAGCCATGTTTCTGCAAAGAAGATTTAAATTTGATGTTGATTTGTAAATCAGAAGATGAATCCCTCGAGCAATTTTTTCATGTCAATACAAAGTGTTTGGTCAGACATCAGAAACTGGATTCATCTCAAACTCAACACTCCTTCTTTTGATGCTGATGACATTTTACTTTATGTGGATAATTTAAGCTCAGCTTTCTCTGATGCCATAAATATAGTTGTACTTATAGCAAAGTACCACATTCACTGTAGTAAGAGAAGGGATAATAAGCCCTCCTTCCTGTTTGATGAACGATTTTAAGTCGTACTGTTCTTCATTAAGTAGATTTAAAAACTGCTAAAATCATCTCACAACATATACAAACTTATTGTTTTAATTAAAACAATGTTTCTCAAGAAAAAAAAACTGATGAGCTTGTCAGCAGGTAAGGGGCGTTAACCTTCGGGACAAATTGAGGTTGTCGATTGGTCAGTTCCTGACACGCCTTCTGAGTTGATTGACAGGTCGTGCCGTCGAGGATCCGATTGAAAAAAGAAAAAAAAAAACCCGGGAGCTGCAGCAGCCGCGCTGGGAGGAGGCGGGGCGGCCCAAATGCAGCGGAAGCGCAGCAGTGTCTCTGTGCAGCGCAGGACTCCAAGTAAAGCAGGAGATAACCAGACATTTTGCTTGTGCCCTCACTGCCCTGGGCCCCTTAGAGATCATGGGCCCCTTAGAGATCATGGGCCCCTGGGCAGTTGCCCATATGGTTAATCCGGCCTTGCTAACAGCTACAGATTAACTAACGTATAACTGACAACCTAACTCCTAACTGATGAACTAACAGTTAACTAATGAACCAACAGCTAATTTACAACCTAACTGCTAACTAAAGAGTTACAAGCTAACTGGTGAGCTAACAGCTAACTGATTAACTAATGGCTAAGTAATG